AAAAAAAAAGAAGTAAAATAAAACATTTGTTTGCTAGGTCATGATAATCAAATATTCACGACGATTGGAAATTACAACATCAAAAGATGTTCCTCTTATATAATTACTGAGGTAAATTTTTTAAAATAAATTAATTGTTTTATTTTATTTGAAAATACTATTAATGGTCCACGTTCGAAAGATGCTGATGAATCAACAAATTCAATATAAAACTCTGAATGATATGATTTATTCGAATTGAACGTTGGGATTTTAAAAAGGTCTAACATTTCAAAAAGAGAAAGATATTTTATTTAAATTGTTCGATACTTTTAATGTATATTCTTTTCTAGTATGTGAAGGTCGTCGTTCATCTGATTTATATGCCATACGGGTTGCTTTAAATCTTTTTTATGGATTGTAATACAACATAAAACAAAATTGAATTAGCCAATTGTAATGAAATATTTTATGCTGATAGAGGTCTTGATTAATTCGTGAAAATAATCATATTAATATATATGATGCTTAACAAAAATGTTCATGAGCAAGTGTAAGAAAAGGCAAAGTTAAATATACAATGTGGTCAAATGATACGAATTACTTATCATTATTAGGATGATTCAGGTGTTTTTCGTCATACAACACTAAATCATATTAAGTATGCATTTATTAATGATGATCATGGAATTATTCATATACTTGATTTATATATTTGTATAACAAAAGTTAAAGTAATAGAAAATACGATGAAGTAAAATTTACAAATTTCTTTTCAAAAATCTTTATCTTGAAAACAAATGATGCAAAAACAAGATTTGGCTTAGCACTTGAATATAGAACTATTGATGTAAATTATTTGTGGTTTTTTTTGTAATAGTTTCAATTATCTATTTTGAAAATGATGAAAATTGGTTTGAAAAGTTTCTTATTGTTTAGCTGAAGTACGAAAAGATGTTAGTAGACAATTTCAAATTGCAATCTTATTAGGGAATGTTGAAGAACATGTGAAATTTCTTAGACAATGCAATCAAAGCAATATTTTATATTTTTTCTCTATGAGATAGAATAATGTTATGTCTTTTTTTATACAATAGAATCATTTAATGAAAAAGTAATTTATTATGGATAAAAAATACTCTCATGTTAATACTTCGTCCGAAAGGGTTTTTAAAAAAATTAAAGCAATTTAGAAAGTTTTATTTTTCGTTTTCTAATATCTTCAATTGAAAGTCTTGAAAACTAGTTATAGGTTTTCATGTAAATATACCAATTTTTTGAGATATTAAATAATTTCTAAACAATCTTTAATTGTATTCAACTCATCATTTATCTAAAGAGTTTTCTGTACTGTTGTATAAAGAAGTTTATGATGATTCTCGAAGTTTATTGCGACATTGAATGATGACATGCTTTTTTTAAAAGACATTTCAAATAATCACCATGTCATAGCTAGTTTAGTTTATTTTCTCTGATTGATATTCATTAAAATGTAGATTAAAAACAGAATAAGAAGACTTTTCATATTCTGTTTCAAAAAAAGAATAAGCCGGTAGACTGAGATTTTAACAAAGTTATTACTATTACTTGTTCTTTGTTTAATTGATATGTTAGATATGAAATAATAAGATAGACATACATTTAATCAATATTAAACTCGTGTTAAATTTAGTAATTCAAAATAAAATATTTATTTTAGTTACCTGAAATAAATCTAAATGCTAAATTAATTTTACCACCATGTCCAATAAGTCAACAGGAATCAAAGCAGATTTAATATCAAAAACATAAAAGCAAAATTTGCTGTAAATCTTCATATGGATGAAACAGGAACAAGTAGTGAAGATTGGGCTGATGATGAAGGACAAATTGAAGGTGATGACGATGATCTTAATAGAGAAAATCTTAATAGCAACCAAGATGAACAGGACGATGGTTGAGGTGATACTGAAATAGAATTACCATCTGATCTTGTATGTTTTTATTCAAATATATAAATTATTGGTTTATTTAATAAATATTTTAAAATTTTTATTTTAATTATTAAGGCGTGATGCACGTTCACCAAAATTATTTTATCCAGCAGTTGGATTTAAATTAGAAAAATTAGTTGTACGTTGTGAAATCGCTTATCGTTTAACAAAAAAAGGAAAGTTTCAAGATCAACAATGAATTGAAATATGTAAAGAAAATATTGTTGATTTACAAATGTCAATGGCAAAAAAAGATTTAACAAAAGATAATGAAAAACGTTCATGTGAATTAACTGCTGATTTTACTCATTTACAATTACAACCAATACATAAAAGCATGACATTAAAATTTGCATTTAATCAAGCATTGTGAATTAATATCTCAGGTCTACTAGTAAAGAAATCTTTATAAAAACATAGCTATCTTTAATGCACTCAAAGATATGTCATATCTGTTGATCGAAGTTCTTCATGTTGTTTTGATTTATTTGAAACAATTGAATTTATTCTTTGTTAAATGAAACATAATTTTCGTTCAATTACTTTAGAATACGGACAAAAAAAAACAAATAAAAACTTTATTATTATTTTGTTTAGACAAGGAAAGTATTAAGTGTACGTGGAAAGAATCCAATTGATGAACATCCATTAAATTATGATGAATATTACCCATTTAACAATTGTGCAGCATCCAATGTACCACATTTATCGGTATGAAATTTAAAAATGAAACCGAATTTAATTTAAAGTAATCTTTATTTCTT